GTGGGGGAACTTGCACAATCGGTGGCTGACTAAATACTTTTTTGCCCCACTGTATTAACAGCCTTTGCTTCATTGCTGCAGAAGTTTTTCTGTACTCTTCCCCAGATCTGTGCCTTGGTATAATCTTGTCTCGGAGGTGTACAGACAATTCCTTGGACTTCACGGCTTCATTTGTGCTCTGACATTCATTTTCAGCTGTAGGAGGACCTTATATAGACAAGCACGTACCTTTCCAAAGCATGTCCAATCAACTGAATTTACCACATGTGGACTCCAATCACGGTGTAGAAACATCTAAAAGATCATTGGTGGAAACAGGGGGCACCTGAGCACAATTTTAAGTGTTATGGCAAAGGCTGTGAATACTTCTGTACATTTATTTTTAATAAATTTGCGAGAATTTCAAGCGAATATCGAGAGTAGAATTTTGAGGTGAAAAATGAATTGGATCCATTTTAAATAAGGCTGCAACATGACAAAATGTGAAACAAGTGAAGCACCGCGAATACTTTCCAGATGTGCTGCACTCTCACATCCACACCTGTGGCCTGCTTAGATTTACCAGTCAACCAAATATGCATGCTGTAAACCGAGTCCCTTCAAGTCCACAAATACCCTAGCAAATACACTAAAACTGAGCTGTGTTGATTACAGTAAGAGGACTTAAATAAAGGATCATTTTAATAAGATAACCCTAATAACAAATTTCCCACGTGTAGGACTAATAAAGGCTATCTTATCTTATATATCAGGCAGATCGCATGCTTTCCTAAGTATCACTGATAACTTCTAAAGATGAACAACTCGATTTGGTTAGGTCTGTTTGTGCAAACGTAACAACTGAGGTATTCAAAGGGGGAAGTGAAAGCCCTGCAGCCCTCATTACATGACAAGTTCTCTGCTCTGCTGTTGCTCTCGCTGTAGCCCCCCCTACTGATGAAAAGAAGAACTGCACCGTTCACTGTTAAGGCATGACATGCAAGCCGTGTGCTTTGTTGCAAAGGACTTTGTGTTATGAGTAAAAAAGGATAAAAAGTAATCCTCTGGGATGAACATGCTTACTGCAAGCTTGAAACACTATCTTCTCCTTGAAGGACAAACCCCAGCAGGTTTATCCCTCATTAAACCCTTCGTTTGCTGTTCCGAGAAATGCCTCGGCACCTCTAAATTACCGACTGCACCGCTTATCGTCAGTCACGTGACAACCCGTTCCTTAATTGATGAGAAACTTGGTCTTTAATGAGGCTCGCGCTCTCCTCTGGATTGTTTCTTCTCCAGCTCCGAAATTTAACACCCGTTGCTATGGATACAAAACAACTGCAACTACCCAAATATGGTCAAAGGAACTGAAACGAAACGGCAATCGCGTGCTGACGTCACGCACAGCACGCATTGCGCTGCCGTGTGTGCGCTCGGATTCCCTTGACCGTGACAATAGTGGAGCAGAGAGCAGGCTGTGAATAAATAATTAACCTGCTGTTTGCGCTGCTTCCCACTCAATTCAAACACGTCTCCGTCCACGACGCGAGACGAGAACATCATTAATACCACCCTTAAATTTAGGATTTTTCTTCTTCTGACGTTTTAGTGAGTGTTTGGTAGGTCAGATTCATATTTAAACTGGGTTTAAAGCAGTTTTATTACAGATGAAGTTTGCATTGAAGGTGTTCAGCTTTTCTTCGTCCCCCTCCCACCACATTTCTAAGGCATCTCATGGTTTCTTCATCTGCTGAGGAACTTCATGTAAAGTCACCAACTAAGCAAGGCTGTGGTGCCGACTATCTATTCATATAAATGCTCCTAAATCAATAACAACAGCAGCACAGCATTAGTTGCAGTTGTGGTATTTTATTTCCAGCATATTTTATCAATATCTAGTTTCTAGTTTTCTTTTGTTTCTGATTTTGTTTGTTTGTTGTTGATTTTTTTGCATCTCTATATTTTCATAAGTAAAAAAATAAACTATGTCATAAAATACATCTCAATAAAATACATGGCATGATCTTGTTTTTCATGGAAAACAAATGTAAAAGGAAATGTCAGTTCAGGTCTGGAGGCGGGGGGAGCGGGGGGGCACCTTACAGCAAGATGTTACACTTACATATTAGTATCCTTCTATAATTCACTTGTTACAACACAGCTTTGTCAAAAACAGTGTTACACATATATTAAGCTACTCAGCAGGATCTCGTTTCAGACCACACGCAGAGCTTTTTTTTTTAACAACACAATACCATCTCTTCTTGGATTACAGATGACTTGTATTTGCATGCATTTTACTAGCACAAGGTCTCATCTCAGACAACTGCAGCAACAGCATGGAAGAACTCAACCGTGTTTACAGTCACAGAAAAACACTGCGTCTACACAATCTCTGATTTTCAGGTATATGCACGACATCGAAACTCACACTACAAAAGGTTATTTGAGAGCGACTGGAGCTTGCTGGCTGGTTAGAATACAGTATTGTTGCATAACTTCTTTGCATTCACAAGGCCAGGAGTGTGGGCGAGTTAAGACTATCTTTCATTAACTCGGATGCACCGAGGCTGCCTTTGAGGCACTCGGAACCGTCAGCCAGGGAATCAATCTCGGAGTGATTGAAGGAAAACACTGTGCGGTAATTGCTACAAGTGGGACTGGAAGACATGACTGGGGTGCTCAGAGACTCAAGGTCGCTTGCCACGGACTTGTACAGGGTTTCCCAGTCTGAGAGGCAGAAGGGCCCACTCAGGTCAGTACTCTGTAGTATGTCAGGGACAGATGCGGCCGTCTCGGGCGTCACTTCCATCTGTATGCTGGGCACCAAGTCATCCAAGTCATCTCCTTTCAGTTCCTCCAGAGCCTCCTCTTCTGCGCTGGAACACAAAAGGATGTTGGAGTTTCCCAAGATGGCTGCAGCAGGGATGCAAGGGACACTACTCATGTCTTGACCAATATGGGCTTCTCCAGCTGTGCTGCTCTCTGGGGTTTTTCCATTCTCTAAAATGGAAAGCAGCTGCGGGGAGTCCGGTGGATCCTGCAGCATTGTGTCAACATCATCTTCCTTATCATCCCCCTCATCATCATCACCATTGCCGTCATCATCTGAGGAGAGTTTGCAGGACGGTTGGTGAGAAGCTAAGACATGCTCTAGTCTCTCTTTCTCCTTTAGCAGGTTGGCAATCTCTGTCTCCAGGGTGGACTTTTCTTCTTCTAAAGTATCAGTTTCCTGAGGGAAAGAGGGAGAAAGAGAAAAGAAAAGAGCATGAGCAAAGCACAAAAAAACCCCTAAACAAAACAAAAAAAACTATGTGGCTCTACCGCTCTGCTTCGCTGTTGTGAACTGAGACATTATTCATCTTTGGAAGTATGCAAAGTATTCTGTGAGAATGAATCCTCTATAATGATTTAACAAAGCATTACTTACAGCTTGAAGGGTCTCTATCAGCTCCCTCCGCCTGTTACGACACTTGGCTGCCGCAATTTTGTTCCTCTCCCTCCTGATCCTCCTCCTTTCCTCCTCCTCTTTGGAAGGCTAAAATCAATCAGAAATAGCCCATTAATTTAAACGCTCATCCCACTAGGTCTTGCCATGTCGGCAGTTGGCTCTTAAACACCGTTTCTTGTGCCAAAGTGAGAGAGAGAGAAAATCTCCTATGCAGTGAATGCTGATGTGGTCGGTGAAGATTCTCAGTTCAGGCGTTAAAATGCTGCACCACTGGCACGGTCTAGCCAGTCACGTGAACGCGCATTGCATGCAATTTCCTATCCCGCACATAAACAAGGCTGAGCTCGTTACCCCCGCCAAAGTAACCGCTCTGCACCAATTAAACATGATCAAATCGGCTTATGAATGACTCCCCGCAGCAAAATATTCAGATCAATCCGCTAACACTTTATTTCCCCACGACAGGGAAAGGAAAAAAGCAGTTAATTGCGTCCCGTCCCGCTAAAATATCGCGATATCTCAGTTTTCACATTAAGCTTAATGAGTGGAAACGAGGTGGTTGGGGATGGTGTGGGGATCGGGGCAGAGTGCTCTTTTGCTCGCTGTACTGACTGATTGATTGACTGGTGGTTGATTGACACATCAGCATCACCGCCCACCCCTCTCTTCTCTTTACCTGTTCTTTCGGCCCTTTCCTGTTGCTGGCTCTCGCCTTGTTTGCACCTGGCCGGGAAGACGACTGGGTCGCTGCATGAGTTTTGGGCTTTGCACGGCAGGGCGACGGAGAGGCAGATGTGATGACTGTAGGCTGCACAATCCACTTTAGTTCTGGCGATGTTGAGATTGCAGTCACAGTCGGAACAAAGGAGGCTGCTGCACTGGTCTCAGTATCCTGGAAAAACCCACACCAGACAGACATGCATATGCATGCAGTAAAATACTAATTTAGCGTATCTGACGAATGGGTGACCACGTTATTGGCTGACCTTTAGCAATGTTTAAATGTTACATCAATCATTTGTCCAAGGAATGTCAAAGAAGACAAAAAAAATCTGCTCTCTGTAAACACCTCAGAACCAGCCTCGCATCCTCATCAGTTTTTATGATAGATTAAAAAAAAGGTTGCAACGAAGACTGTGAAGCAGACAGCAGTACAAACAGTTTTATTTAAATAATGATATCATTGCGCTGTTTTTGCTTGTTTGTTTGTTTGTTGGGGTATTTTTTAAGGATTTTCTACAGAGATACGCATGTTTTTCTAGTCATTTTTCCAACACGGGATAGTAATCCTGCTAGGGGAAATGCAGTGCATGAAAAGGACTTCATAAAAATGTGAAGAATTTGAGGAATGCAGTTCTATCACCCGCATGCGTCAAACACAAGATTACGCTTTGTGATCAGGTTTTTGTGTGTGTAATGATGAGATCCGGCTCTACCTTGGTGCTGTCCACTGATGATGAAAGCGAGTCAGGAGGATGCTGACTGCACCCAGGGGTGTCCCCGCCAGGCGATGCTGTGCTACAGCTGGACGATAAGTCGAACTCAGTGCTGGAGTCTGGATGCATGGTTTCATTAAAAAATAAAAATTCAAAATAAAATTAAATCACCGCATAAGAGACTGAACAGTCAGTCTGTGCTAGACAGAAAACGGATGTCCCGGACGCCTATATTCCATTTGCCAGGTTCATAACTGTGCACATAGTGGAGAGGCCCGCCTTTTATAGTGAGCTGGAATTTTATGAATGAAATCTGTGTGGTGAGACCGAACCATTTCACCGAGGGAGAAGTGACTGGAGAAAGGGGTTAGCAGATGGGGGTTTTTACAGTTCAACAATCAAATCACTGAAGTGCGTAAAAATCAACACTAACCCATTGTTTCATTTCAGCTTATTATCAGAACTCAAATGGTTTTTTTAAAAAAGTGTGCACATAGAAAGTGGCACCCCTCCCTCCAAAAGGTGCCCACCGCCGCCATGAATGAACTACGTCACTTCATGTATGCAGCATCTGCATCACAGGCTATATGTTCCCGTCATGCCCTCAGATGTTCTCGACATTTACCCTTTGTTTAATGCTTCTGGGCATTTACGGTAACACGAGCTCTCAATGCATTAGAAGGAAAGTGGAGGCAGTGTAATAGGCTTCATTAATAAATGGTTTTAAAATAGCCAGTGTGGTGCTTCCCCGATTCTTTCTCCTCCAAACTGTCCACATTAGAACAATGATTATGCACTAATGTTCCAACTTCTATTTATAGACACAAAATAAAATCCGGCATTAATTTAATTCTTTCACAAAGCTTCCAGCACACTGTCTGATTATTTATAAGCCGTCAAAATTAAGTGTCATTCACGTATCACATTGCCTTTCACCTGTCTCTACATATGAATAGAGCTCCAGCAACAGAACTGTCGCTGAAGCCAAGCAGCCAATCGCCGATGGACCGGTCGAGCCATATATGGTATTTCCGGGAGGAGAGGGGGGAGAGGGGGGGCGTGCTGTGGCACAAGGATGGACGCTGCCGGGCTGTGTGTGGCCCACTCACTCACTGCCGCAAAAAGAAAGTAAAACAAGCTCTCAGAGACTGACCCTATGTTGTACCTGATATCAGCGTCATCAGCTGCGCCAAGAATGCCCGCACAGGCGTTAGTTTGAGGATGCGAAGGATTTGACCCACCTTTCCATATAAGGGTGGCAATTAGGTGCAGCCGCAGATGTGCAAAACACACTCACGAGGGAATCGGAGAATTCAAGAAGGCCAATGACTGATATAATTTCTAGACAGGAGCAACGTGACTTACTTTCTCACAGACTGTAATGCAGTTTATCGGCACCAATTAAAGCCCGGGCTTTAATTGATGTTCCCGCATAACCTAATTCTGCTCCCATAACAAGAACTTGCGGGCTGGATTGGGCTATATTTAGGTTTCATGTGACCTCACGAATCCACCCAAGTGAAAGGGATAAGCGCTGGATAGAGTGAGAGGCTCCCCCCCTGTTTGCTCTGTGCTCCCGGGTACTTCCCGGCAGTGGCAACCCCCCCCGCCTTGGGCCCTATTTACCGGCACATCACTATTGGTGGTCGGCTTGAGCGGCCTGGGACAAAACGAAGTTCAAAGGTCGAACAATACTCACCTCTCAGCACATCTCTAACAGTTGTCTTCTTCAAAGCAACTTGAGCGTGAATGCGCAAAGACTGTGGAGTTTATTTTTAGATCCACTGGCATCCAAGTTCACGGTCATTTTAGTGAACTGTTCTCCTTTGAGGAGCCAAAGAGCAGCGATAAAAAAGAAATAACTTCAGCTATTAGATAACCGGAGAGTTTAAATACTTTCAAAAACAGCAATAAAAAAATATTTTTTCTTTTAGAAATGGCATTTCTTTCTTTCTTTCTTTCTTTCTTTCTTTCTTTCTTTCTTTCTTTCTTTCTTATTATTATTATTATCTTATTATTATTATTATTGTTATTATTATAATTTTATTTCGATTAAATTATCATTCCAACACGAAATAACACTAGCAAAAACCAGGTCACTCAAACAGTGCAGGTCAGCAACCTTCATGCCAACCACTCAAACAGAACTCAAACACCGCTCAAGGTAAACGGCTTGTTTGGTGTCCCGTTCCATTCCGTTGACCCGCAGACACCGAGGAAAGAGGAGGACTGTCAGAGACTTGAAAACACTCAGAGCTCTCACTCCGACATCGTTTCCGGGAACGACCCCTGACGTGTTCGTGTGCACGTTCCGTCTCCACAGGCGATGCCGAAAAAGCCGGTTTGGTGTTTCTCTGTTGATGTGGCTCCTCCTCATGATTACACACGATCTTCTTTGCTATGAAAAAATAAAAACTAAATGGACGTCACTGACGCGAAAGGGGCTGGGCGTCGCTATGACAACCAGGAATGTTCAACAAAACACTGGCGCGGGAAAGAAAGCGCAAAATCCTATAGCCTGAATTAGGGTCTTTTGACACAATGACACCTTTGTTTAGTCTTTATGGTTTGTTTAATGGGACGAGAGCACTTATGGCGCTTGTTTTGTGCTTGTTTGGTTAAAGAAGGGAATTCCCGGAAGACTCACGAGAGAGAGAGAAAAAAAGAAGAAGAAAAGTATGAATTGTGTTTCATAAAACTCATAAAATGCTTTGCTCGTGTTTTTTTATGTGCATGAATGTATCGCCTTTATTAAGAATAAACCATGAACAAAACTACCAGCAAAATGTTGCTGACTTTGGTAATATTGCACGAAAGTCACGATGCTTGTTCCACAGACCTACTTCTCAAGTCAACACGATAATAAAAAAAAAGCGCTGATGTCAGAGAATGAACAGTTATTAAACAGCAAATGCAGTCGCAATGTTGGCTCACCGTTAAGCCTGCATTTCATGAATTCGTTTCATAGCTTCTTACGTAAATCTTGAGGATTCCCTCTGCTAGTGGCTTTGGGGAAGACCTTTACAATTAACTGCCACCCCTCCCCGTCCCCTCCTTTGAGAAATGTAAACTGTCGTCGAGGAAACGTACACACAGAAAACCAGTTATCAGCTCGCTCTGCAGCTAAACACGCCCTGTTCTGGATTGCAGGCGAAAAGTACAAACAGTACCTGAGGGTGGAGAACATGTCACCCATGTCCTGACATGTAACGTTTATGTAGAGATATTTTAGACAATTCTATGAAACAATTCCATTGTAACTTACTGGATATAAACGCATGGGATTAAATAAGAAAAATACATGGATAAAATTAAGTATATAAGTAAATTAAAAGTCGGTTTAACAGACAGACCACAGAATCAAGTGAAAATCAATTACCCACCGTTTTCTCGCTTATTCTTATCTTTATTCAAATTATTCTTTGTACTTTGTGACCTACCTACACATACAAACATGGGCCTCCTGTGATTGTATGAATTGTCTTGCATTAAATGTGTAACAATTGATCAAATTAAACACTTTAAAAATAGTCGATAAGTGAGTCAGTGAGTGAAGTTAGCGAGTACTTAAATAACATGTTATTTATATACCACCTTTCAAGGTGAATATCACAAAGTGCTTAACTACAAGTTTGCACGATAAAATTGAGTTTCTATATTTCAAAAATACAAATAAAAAAGGAGGCGCGCGGCTGGGGGAGGGGGTTAAAAAAAAGAAACAGATTTTTATTTTTTAATGTGTTTGTTTGGTACGTTTTGTTCAGCACAGACACATTTACATGTTTAATTGTGTCCCTGCTGTGTAGGACGCACTTTTCCTCACTGTTATCTCAGTTCTTCAAGTTTTCACAACAGTGTCTGTGTTTGTTGTTTTACATAACGTCATGCCGCTGTCCGCCACTCTCAAGGTGTATTTCCCATCAGGCCCCGCCTCCTTCACAGGATGCACCATATATGGATACCTACGTATCGGGGATCCCGCTCCGGAATATTCCATTTCTTGAAGACGAGTTTTAGAAATAAACATTTTAAATAGTCACTTATCACCTGTAAATGACTCATTCGTGACTCGTGCAAACAAAGTGTATTGAATTTAAATGGAGCGCGAGGAAAAGTCGGTGTTATTACGGCGTTGTTAAGTCAGTGTTTTGGTGTTTTTTTCCTTCCTGGTGTCGGGTGAACGGCACACCCCTCTCTACGTCAGCAGGCACACTATAAAAAAGGCCCAGCTCGGAGAGTTGGCAGTCTAACTTTGAGTAGCAGAACAGCGACTAAAGAGAACTGATCGGGAGCAGCGCTTGAAGAGTTTTCTCGCAAACCCACTAAAGGAATATCCTGACCTCAAGTTTACATTCGTCCTTAGTAGAGTTTGTCCGGATCTTCTTATTTGCTTAAATTTTTTTTTCGAAAAAAAGGAACGATGATGTTCAATTTCAACGCGGATTGCGACTCTTCCTCTCGCTGCAGCACCGCTTCCCCGTCCGTGGACACTTTGGGATATTACCCGTCACCAGCGGGATCTTACTCCAGCATGGGATCTCCCCAGTCTCAGGTATGTCCGCTTAAACATTGTTAAATCTTTACAACACGCTATTTCAGCTCAGAAAGAACCTGTTGGAGATTTGAATGTTTACTAAATTAAACTGACAAAGCTTAAATTTGATGTTTTCAAATAATAATAATCTTAATAATGAAAAAGGCTGGCTGGAAATTAAGAAAAGCACCCATTGAGTTTTTAAATATATATATTAAAAAATAACTCTGACCTGCGCACCACACAGTGCAAGGCAAGCTTCATTCATCCACCTGGAAACTCCATAGAGAGAATGTAACGTCATAGCTGACATCATAAGGATATTTTTAAACCATCCAGCTTTTTATAGACCCTCCGTGCTTCATTCATAGACATCTTGCAATGCTGCCACCCCTCCTGATAATGTACCAAACGTCCTGACGATCTCCTTTTTTACTTCATTTCCTCCAGGATTTCACAGACCTGACAGCATCAAGTGCCTCCTTCATCCCCACAGTCACAGCCATTTCCACAAGCCCAGATCTTCAGTGGATGGTCCAGCCTGTGGTCTCCTCAGTGGCCCCTTCCCACGGAGCTCACCCTTACACCTCCAGCCCTAGCCCTGCATACTCAAGAGCAGTCATGAAATCTGCAGTGTCCAGGGCTCACAACAAGAGAGGCAAAGTGGAACAGGTAATTATCATTCGTTCATGAAGTGTT